TTTCAAGGGTCGCTGCCCTCCTACCTCCTAATCCAAAGGTCCCGGCTTGATCTTGGCAACCTTGGCACTTTGGTTCTTCCTCCATGTGCACTCCACTATTTTTTTCAAGAGTAAAAGCTCTTCCTAATTACATTTCAAGATCCCCAAATATTGAGATATAGCTGCAATACTAAATTATGGGTCACTATATATTTGTCCTCTTAAGGTAAACCCTCTCTCTTCTTGCAATTGGATCTTTTCTACTGTATATTTGTCCTAAACATTAAATCCAGATTGGTTAGCATGTTAGTGACCCGCGTTGGACCTTATAAGGCACCATCGAAATTATAGAAGTATTTTAGTATTGCTCAGCATTTATTTTGTTAGTATTTGTTATAGATCATACATTTCCTTAGCATTTGTAGAGGAATTGGTTTTGATAAAAAAAACAAATATGATGCTTATAGGTCATTTCACAATTCTTCGGATGAATTTTAGCAGGTCTTGTTTCAAATCTGTTGCACAAGCCCTCCCTACATATGTGATGAGCGTGTTCAAATTTCCACTGACTTTGTGTGATGATCTGATGAAGCACATATGGATCTTCTGGTGGGGAGCTGAAAATGGCAAGTGGAAGATTCAGGTGAAACCATGGGAACAAATGATACTTCCTAAGAGCTCTGGAGCTTTGGGTTTCAAGGATTTAAGACTTTTCAATCAGGCTTTACTTGCTAGACAGGCATGAAGGCTGGTGGCCTTCCCAGATAGTCTCTGTGAGCGTCTTTTGAAAGCTAAATATTTCTCTCATGTAACTTACTTGATAATGTTCCAGCAGCTGAAAGATCCCAAACATGGAGACGAATTGGATATGGCTTGGAGACAAACATGGTGTGGCGTACAAAATTGGTGACGGGAGAAGTACAAAGATATGGAGGGACAACTTGATTCCTCAGAGACAACCTGAGACCAATAGGTAGTACCCGTGTTTGCCGTCTTCGATGGGTGCATGGATTAAACGATTCTCAATGAGTGATTGAAAGTGTTCCCAAGTAAAGAAATAGTGCAATCAAGTGGCAAATATTTTAGCTTCTTTAGCTAGACGTCATAAACATTCTGCGGCTTGGCAAGGACAAGTGTCTGCGTGTGCTCCGTCCTTCCATCATCCCGATTGTAACTCGCCGATAGCTAGCTAATAAAGCTTCTCTCTCTGCTCGAAAAAAAAAACTCTTCGGATGAAACTAGCGAGAAGATTTGCGATGTTACTGAAATTTGAAGATCAAGCATCCTGGTGAAAGACAACAGTCGCTTCTCCCATGCCCAAGAGATGTGCTGCTGTCTCTTGAGTTTGACGCCTTGATCACAACAATTGATGTTTTACAACATATATGTCATCCGGTGAATATCTTTTCTTGTTGCAACGCACGGGCATATGTTGCCCATCATTCACATGCCCTTTCTAGATGTGTGCGTCGTGACTCAACCGCATCACGGAAAGGCAGTAGAGTTTGTGAGACTGCGATGCCACGCTCTCCGTGACTGTGTTAATTTCACGAACTTTGTTTTTTGGATTAAATATCACTTTAACGTTGTTATTTAATTTTTACAGTATTATTATCTTATCGTGCGATCCGTGTGTTTTTAGTATAAAATATTAGTTATCCCGTAGCAACGTACGGGCATGCTACCTAGTCTATACTATAAAATCTAAATCTATATCTATACTATAAAAGAGTAAAATAATTGATAAATACATGTTATCTAATAAGATTTTCTACCACTTTATATATTATCCCTTTGATGTTCTTTGGAAAACAGATCTCATGGCCCGCAAGTAAACAGAGTAGTCGAGATTTGGGGACGATGTTTACTTCCATATTTGGATGCACTTTCCTTTTTCTTCGATGTGAAAGAAGGGGGTGAAAGACTTAATCTACTTTTAGTGACTGACTTGTGGTTGCTTTGTGGTGAGAAACACATGATCGAAGTTATTTTGATAATTTAATTAGACTTACAACTTTGGAGACGTCGACTGTACTTTCAAATGACCACAATCGCAAGCCTTGTGTTGACACTGGACGTACAGGGACATCAAACATTTGATTTTTGAGACTGGACATAAGAAAGTTTAGATATTTATTCTGCTAGTAGACATAAGGAGACATCTGACATTTATTGTGACCATAAACATATGGAGATGTGAGGACATTTATCTTTTGTCGGATATTCTTATACAACAATTATTAATTTTGGTATCCAAGACATGAAGATTTCAGATACTAGATGCATACCTCGCGCGTTGCTAGGATAATTTCTTAAAAATAAATTTGTTTTATATATAGCATTACTATATGGTATTCTATATACCGTTTGTATATATATAAATTTGCCTTGCGTGTTATTTTATTGTATCGGATCTGGTAAAAAATCGGTAAGCTAATAGAAGAAAAACCAATAGAAATTTGATCACATTATAGAAGAATAGGTGATGAAACAAATAGCATATGTAATGACTTTATGTTAATAGATTAAAGATTAAAAGTATTGCACATAATAGAGATGATGTGAATATTATTTTTGTAATTAATAAGAGGTGACACGGATAGCTCGTATGAAATAATTGCAAGTTAGTGACACACTTAATGGGGACTGATGTGAACACCTTGCATGGAGAGAAAACATCTGGTGGGATTTAGGTTTATAAGAGTATATAGATATAGATTTGGATTCTAGATATACAAAAGGTTCCCAACAATAATCTACAATAATGGTATACTACAAATAGAAAATAGTGGAGGCATCGCATGCCTATAAATATTGGCTATCCATATAGCACACCTCGCATAAAGGCATCATCATACTCCTACATGATATGGCTCCCACAAAGTCGACACTGGTCCTCATAGCCTTTGTAATTATTCTGACAAAGCTCAACTTTGATCCAGCCAATGCAGAGACGGACTGGTCCAACATAAAGGCTAAGGTCATTAAGGCTTGTTATGATTCAATCCGGTATGGACCAAAAGGTTCAGGTGAGCCAACTCACCCCTGCTGTCAAGGCTTAGAACATGAGGATGTCGATGGTATCTGTGAGCATCTGAATGGGATAGAGGAAGAATCGGTCAGTCCTATAAAACTTGTCAAGGTCATAAGAGGGCCATAGATTCAAACCAACTACCCATAAATGTGGAAGTAAGTACGATAAATCAATTGACATGTGTTTGTTATTGCTATGCACATCTCTTTGACAACAATTTGTTAATTGTTTGTAGCTTACGTAATTCCTCCTGCCGGTGCGAGCAGTCATGCCTTCAAGGTGATAAGGCCATGTGTAATTTCTTGAGGCGAAGGAATGACTCAGCAGACATTGCATCATTGATATCCTAGCAAGTAAAAGCTCCCTGTTGAAATAATAATAATTGGGTCAGACTATTGAAATGGATCCTTCGTCACTAAAATATACTACCGCCGATCTAGAAAGGATGCAATTATAGTTCTATTCTTGGTCAAACTATCTAAAATTTGACAAAGTTTATAGATTATCAATATTTACAACACAAAATAGGTATAATACGAAAATACATAATGAAAATCACAATAACATCGATGAACGATGAAAAATTGTAGGAGGGTCTGAACAAAAGCGCTACATCGACATAACTTCACTATGACCCCTTAGTGCTTAGGAACATGATTAAGCACCCTCGATTGGATGTAGGGCGCGGTTGCCTAAATGAGTATAAATTCTAAACCTCTGAGTGTTAAGCCGTCAAAGCCGATGCATGACCATAAATTTACTAGTCTATGGTAGAAACCTCGACATCGAGCGTAGGATTGGCTCTATGTTGCAAAACTCTTTTGGGCTGAGGGTAAGTTAAAGCACACTAGAAAAACCTCAAGTACATATCTTATTAGAGTAGTTTATGACTTTTCTAGTGGTATTTTAAATTAAGCCCTACAATTTAAGTTTAATTTAGGCATTTAATTCAAAACCCCCTCTATTGGGTGCTCACAACCACGAGATATATCTTTAAAACTATCATACTTGTAGACTCCGCTGTGATGTTTGACTGTTGAACTAAGTTTGTGTTGGACTAAAATGATGTAAACTTAACTGATTTCACTAAGCAAGAACTTGTATCAGCTATCCACCGCTTTCCAAATAGCACACCTTCAAGAAAGGCATCATACATTATGGTTTTCAGAAAATCTGCACCTGTCCTCATGGCCTTTTTAATTGTTTTGGCGGTGCTTAGCTTTGATCCAGCAATTGCAGAGACGGGCTTGTCATAACATGATCAAGCACGGACATGGAGGTTCAGATGAGCCAACTCTCCGCCGTTGTCAATCCTTTATAAAGGAGGACGTCGATGGCATCTGTGAGCATTTGAACGACATGGATGAACACTCAAACTGTCTCCTTCACATGACATTTATGCTATTGCTATTGCTATGTACAGCTCTTTGACAATAATGTATTAATGCTTTGTAGCTTTCAAAATTCCTCCCGCCGTTGCCAACAGTAGTCATGCCTTCAAGATGACAAAAGGCCACGTGTCATTTCGTGAGGCTAAGGAATAACTCAGGAGATATTGCATCATTTATATCCTGACATGTAAAAGCTCTCTTGTGCTCTTGTGAAATATAGTAATAATTGATTCAGACAATTGGCCGGACTATGGATCTTACCAAAATCTACTAAATCCATGGTCAACTATCTAAAGTTTAGCCACAATTATAGAAAAAATAGGTATAATATGAAAACATTTTCTTCAGATAAACATAAATACGAAAGAACATGACAGAAGCACATGAGCTGCATCATGATTATTTCGTAGATTCAACCATCACCAGTTCACCACCTAAATAGATTCCATCAGTAGCACGGAAGGGTTAACAGAAGTCCTGATTGGCACTCAGATACAATGCATAAGGCGAACAGTTCCCTTGGCAACATGCAAAGGCACTTCTACCTAATTATCTATACTGCTTCAGGACCAAGACACCATGGCCTGTCTTGAGCCTTACACACGCTTGGGCGGCACATACTGCACGTTGTTTTCTTGACAAATCCCCTGCAGTGATGAACAAAGACGTGAGGTCCCAAGTAGTTCATCAAATCGCAGAATGAACCTGAGGTAAAGTACATAGGGCCTGTTCGGCAGGACTGAAAAATACTGTTCTGGCTGATTGTTGTGAGAGAAAAATATTGTTCTGTCTGGACGTAAATAGTGTTTCTGTGAGTGAGCTGGCCTGCCGGGCTCAGCCCAGCCAGCCAGCCGAACGCTCCCATAGTTTCTACCTGGTACTCTTCTGGAAGCTCCTCCGAGACTGCAAGTGTATAGCACCCCGGAATAAACCTACCTGCAGATTGACATAGGTGGATGATCTCGGTTAGTAATGCCACAGTGCAACAAATGGACATATCTATGCATTCTAGTATAAACCAAAAGAGAAGTGAACTTTGAACAAAGTTTACCATCTGTAAGGCATTGATTTTATTTGGCTCTAAACTACAAGCTTAAACATAAACTGCAGCAATTAATTTAGAAATGACATGATCATCATGTAGAACCTTTAACATATCTTAATTCATGTATTGCACTAAAACAGAGGTGATCTTTCAAAACTTTACAGTGATTGATTTTGTAAAGCTCTTAATTACTACTATACTACACACTTGCAAATTATATCAAACAGACATGGTAGCCACCTAAAAGTTATGACAGAAGTACACACATGTATTTTCATCTGTTTTACTTTTTACAAAATTACAATGGCACATGAAGGAGCCTTAGCTCTGCAGTTTACTATAAATGTCAACTGAAAAAAAAAGCATCTTTTCTATGGATGTTGCTCTGTAAACTGGAAAACCATGTAAACCAAGGGAGCCCCTACATAAATAATATTTAATATATAAAAACTGCACCTGATGTGAGTGAGAATTTGCTCACAGTTCAAGATACTCAGAAGGCTCAAACTCTATAGGTATAGAGACCAAAGAATTAGATCTGTTATGAAGCAATGGTCTGTGCCAAGTCTCCATAAAAATTCAGAGAGGAAACAGAAAATTTTAGCACATGGTGCACTCAATAATCGCACCAAGTCTACAAAAAAACCACTGAAAGTCTGGCATACTGGCATTAGCACAAATTCTCGACAGCAATTTTTTGTACTTTTTGTGAGGAAATGAACTAATCAACAAGGAATTTTCTTATGGATGACATGATTTGGGGCAAATTTTCTGAGCTTAAAATTGCTAGAACAAGAAAATCCCCCAGCTCAAGATTTTTAGCTTTGGTTTTAGGATCCTTGGCAAATAATAACCACATAAAACAGGTCAGCAAGAATTGATCTGAGTAAGAAGGAAATGAAACTCAGTTCATATATTTGAACTTAGAGAGACTTTGCCTAAAAAGTTTTTACCAACTACCAAAAGCACCAGAAGCTATAGTAAAAATGTTGCAATAGACCAGTATGCAGTTAATGAACAAATAACCAATACAGCCTGAGTCCTTCAAAATGGCATTACAGCATAAAATGCATACTGCAGTAAGCTAGGCAAAGATACAACTTACACAAGTGGGAAAAAGGACAAAATGAATGCAGCAGATTGAGGACAAACAAATTGCAGGATATGGGGAATCAAGGCTCACCAATTCTCAACCAACGAGCTGCCCAACTCCTACTGGGGTCCATCAGAGAGATAATTCTGCATAAGATAAAAAGGCATATTAATTAGCTATTGTCAAAAGTGGACTGTGTAAATAACATCAGGGCATCAATGCTTTTTGCTGATGGTCATTCACTCAATTCATCATTCAACATCTGTGCATCTCATTGTTCCAATGCTCATACTACTCATAATACATTATGGTAGACATTTTGATGAGCTACTCCAGAATCACAAAGGATGAAAATACAAGGTCTAAGCAGCACAGTAGTTTGTGCTGTTCATCTCTTTCATTAAATTCGAGATTAGTCAAAGCACAAAATATTAATTTCATTGTTACTAACTTCATCCCCTCTGCAATTAGAACTGCAGGTGGATATAAAGCTGGGAGCACCAAGAACAACAAGAAAATAAGTATAAGATGCCAGCAATACAATGTGGAGTTACCCGGTGAAGTTGGGTGTGGTGCAGTTGACGACGTTGTCATGCTCCCTGTCCATCTCCAGGAACGGGCAGTTCTCGCAGCCATTCTGCCTGAACTGCACACAGCACCCCAAACAGCAATCAAACACGTGAGCATGCGAAGGCGGCCAGCATCGGCATCAACGCTACAACTTGCAATAGGAATTCAATGCTGTACGCAAAAAAAAAAAAAAAAAAAAAAAAACTGGCACCGATGGGAATCGAGGGAACAGCGAGCTGAACCGTAGCCGCCGCCGAGAAAAAAAAAACCTGGCACCGATGGGAATCGAGGGAACAGCGAGCTGAACCGTAGCCGCCGCCGAGAACGGACTGCTCCCGGGGAAAGGAAACCCCAGTACTAGAACCCTCCCGTCTCCCGTCAACGGGCGGCAGGTGAACCTAAACCGCAGCCCGAGGGGTGAGGAGGGGAAGAGGAGCGGTGCCGGCGGAGGAGGGTACCTGGTCGTAGGTCTTGACGAGGCGGCATCGGAGGCAGGCGCGCAGCTCCGGGCCGAAGCTAGTCGGGATCTCCGCGTGGCCCACCCTCTCTTCATCGTCCATCATCCCGCCGCCGCCGCCGCCGCCGCCCCTCATGCTCGCCGCTCCGCGTCTAGCCCCCTGCTTCCTGCTCTCTCTTTCTATCTTCCCCGGTAGCTTGTAGCCTTTTGGGATTTATTTCGGAGGTTTGGGCTTACAGGGAAGCCCAATGACATCTAAGGGCGCGTGGGTGTTGAGGCCCACCTGCGTGAGGCCCAGACGCAAATTGCTTATTTCCATTTTGTTTTAAGAAGAAAACTACACCTGCACTATATCTTGCGTTTTCCTCCCCCACCCGTGGGGTGTGACGGTCATAGGCGACGACTAGAGGTTGCTTCGGGCCTTCCTGCGGCGGTGCAGGTGGGACCTGTTCGGAAGCTAGTATTAAAATAGGATTACACGCAGGACCTGGAGTTCGATTTCTCGTACCGCGGCTCTCCGCTACCACATGCGCGGTCACACGAGGCGTATCCAAAACAGGGACTGAGGCCAGTCTCAACGGCGAGCTACGTCGTTTCCAAGACTGCCACGTCACGTGAAATGAAATGAAATGAAATGAAGGGCCTGTTTGGTTTCTTCTCCTCCTTCTAAAATTCCTGTTACATCAAATGTTTGGACACATGTATGGAGTATTAAATATAGACTAATTATGAAACTAATTGCACAACTTGCGACTAATTTGCGAGGCGAATCTTTTAAGCCTAATTTGTCCATGATTTGACAACGTGGTGCTACAGTAAACATGTGCTAATGATAGATTAATTAGGCTTAAAAAATTCATCTCGGAAATTAGCCTCCATCTATGTAATTAGTTTTATAATTAATTTATATTTAATGCTCCTTATTAGCCTCTAAATATTTGATGTGACATAAATTTTAGGAGCGACTAAAGAACCAAACACCCCCGAAATTTAGATGAAATATTTATTCTCATTAGAGAGTTTTATTCTATGGTTTTATAGGTATTTAATTTCAAGACTCATAAAGAGTTAGTAATTATGCCAAGAGAGTTTCATTCATTTCTTCTCTCTCTTAAATACACTGCAATGACATCCAAAATCCCTATGTGGCAACCTATTTAATGTAAATAAAACTCACATGAAACTTTCACTGAGGCTGGCCTAAGAACATCACCAAATTAAAAGGTATCTAATTCCCTATAATATGTAGCTAAACAAGATTAAGAAAACAGACTTTCAGTGTATAGGGGAACAGATTGAGAAAGGAAAAGGGATTGAGGAAAAAGGCTGTTTGCCCCTTCTACTCGAGGAAGTGAGAAAAATATTGAAAAATAGATTGAGAAAGTAAATTTACTGGAGCAGTTTTTTCACCTCATTCCGTTATATGCCTTTAGAAAAAGAGAATTGTTTTTTTGTCAAACCGGTGGAGTTGCTCGGCTAGGGACGAGAGCGGGGGCGCCCTGCGGGAAGAGGAAGTGTTGCTTGCGGGGTAGACGGAGATGGAGACGCACGGAACATCAAAACGGTCCTCGCTCTATGCTCCAACTGTTCTTATCCTACAGCTTGAGACTGTAGTCCTTGCACATCAGACGCCTACTCCCATGACATGAGCAACAGTGCATGCTGCAGCTACAACTACAAGGCTCTACAGCATTTCGCGCTAAATGACTCGACGAGATCCAGTCGCCTGCCATGGCAGCGATAGATAGACGGGAATAATCCCCGGTGGTCACCACCGGCACCGGGGACGGCCAGAGCAGGAGCCTTGCTCAGAACTCTGAAGCAAGGCAGGGAATCCTATGGCTGCATGCATGGCCACCACCAGTACACCACTATCATTAGCGTGGTCAGCAGCTCAGGGCTAGGGCAACAGAAACCCTTGAGGCTTGCGCCCACCAATGGCGCCAATGGAACATGACCACGAAGCATGGCAAGTTTTTTTTTTTCTTTTTTCTTTTTCTCGTAGCAGCGATGAGATGGGGATTAGGTGCCACTGACCACCGGCAGCAATCAAGGAACCATCTCCATCTTCCTGACCTACCAACAGAAACGCTTCATGCAACTGAAAGAAATCAGGGACTAAGAAAAGGCAGCATTAGCGCTAAGGAGGGGATGATTGTCGTCGTGGTCGTCGTCGCAGTCATCCTCCTGCAGCAGCTCAGACATCCAGTCACGGAAATCAGACAATGCACCGCTGGGTTGTTGTTGCATCAGGTACGGCACGGCGCACCATGACCGACCGGCCAACCAACAAGAGGCAAGCCAAATCAATGTTAAATTAGAGATAACCATCGTTGTTGTCATACCCACACAACACCACCATCAGAGGGGATTAACAACGAAAACCTGGCGCAACTCACGGGAAACAGGAAAGCAAACCGGGGGTTCCAATCGATCAGTCCTCCAAGGAAAGGATAAAAAAATAAAAAGATCACTCCTAGAGATGGCGACGGCGAGGAGGAAGAAACGAATGATGTAGGGGCTGCTATGTCCATCAGGTTGTTGTTGCTGCAGCTGCTGCCGTTAAACCAGCGCAATGCTGCTCTCCCCGCCGGGCGGCTTGCGGATCCCGCCCAGGTAGTCTCGGGAGGGGGCCTTCCCGTCTGCGAAGATGTCGCTGCCGGTCATCTCCTTCAGCTTCGCCGTGCTCAGGTGCTTCTCTGCCGTCCCAGGGGTCTCGTCACCCTTGAAGATATTGCCCGCGAGGTCGGTGAATTTCTTGGTGGGGATCTTCTTCGCGGTCTTCACCACGCTGTCCTCGTCGGCCTCGCCGAACTTGATATTGCTTACCTGTTGTGAGAACGACAACCAACAGTGAGCAACACTGGAGCTGTTGTAACTGAGTTTATATTAGGACGAGGTGAGTTCAGAGGTTAGGACATATGCATTTTTGCCCGGGGTCTGCGAGGTCGAGCCATTCTCGGAGTTGCGTGGCCGTGGATCTTCTGGAGGAGCAAAGATGTCGTGGCCGCTAAGTTCCTTGGATTTCAGGTCGGATATCTGCCTCTTCATCTTGCTGTCATCCTCGCTCAGAAGCGTGCCGCTTAGCTCGCGCTGCTTTGCCACCTCTGCTATCGAAGTCGGCTTCTTTGGAGAAATGCTTTCTTCCTCAGCAAATGAGATGTGGCTTATAGTACTAATTGCCTGTAATTGAGAAAATGCAGTAGGATTAGCCCGTGTAACTGTGTTCCAGCTACGTATGCAGTTAAATCTATAACAACCCGAAGGATATTCACCCTTTCACTTCGAAGCCAACATCAAGATGATTATGGGTTAGAAAACATCTAAAGTGAGTATGCTATGAATAGTGTATTAGTATATGCAAAAATATTAGAGTTGCTGAGCAGTCTGCAGAAAAATTCAGTGCCAATACCTAGTTATACAGGGGAAAAGCATGAACCTTGCTGTAGTATATATGTTTAGAGTTTAATCAAGGTTTGTTGTTTATTGACATCTAAAGAAACAAAAGGTGTCTACAGTAAATAGTAACTAAGTCTCATTTGTCGATCAATCAAAGTTCTTGAATATTTCTCGTTCAGTTCAACTTACCAATCAAAATGTCCAGTTCTATCACAAGGAAAGCTCACCAACCAATATGTATACAAACTAATAATGCTTGCCCAAACCCTTCCCACAAGATACATCCCAACAACTTCTGAGGTAAGAGGTACAACATTAAACAAGTTTGATCATAGAAACCAGCAGCTTATATCAATGGCATTTAAAATTTATAGCAAAGCAATAACATAAATCAAATTCTTCATCTTGTCACAAAACCAACAAATTAGTGCAGCATCTGAAAATAAAACTACACTATCAAGTATCAACACAGAAGGGTTGCCAGGGGTACAGCCTAAACAAAACAGACTAAAAATCAATCTACATAGTCCTTTAAAAAATAACAAAGCAGTACCTGATAATTCTTTGGAGCTGTTCGGATGGGAGTTGCAGAGGCATTGACAGATTCATCTTCTTCAGCCTCGCCCCCAGCTGCAAATATGCCGCTTCCTGTCATCTCCTTCCACTTGGGAGCAGAACATGGTTTCCTGAAGGGAAAAAATAACAGCTTGGTGAACCACAGCTCCCTTCAGGTGCTAATCTGAAATCTGAATAACCAATGAAACTACGTATAACGATAAGCAGAACTTGCCAAAACATACACAAATCAGGAACCTTGTGATCAGCACAAATTCATCAATAGTGCCCAAAAGCCGAATTAGTTGTTTAAACAGTGCAAGTGATCTTGAATGAAACTATCTGTTTTGTAACTCATCTCCAGCATACCTTAACGGAAGCATTTTGAAGGCTATGGGTCAGTTTCCAATACTCCAACATAGTTGGTGAGATGGCAATTACATGAACAGCTAAACCATAGTCACATTACGGTAATACTACTAGCAATTCCTTTTCCGGAGCCTATAGAGCAGAACTGAAAAAGAAACTCGAAAAGAACAGAGTTAAAAGACTCTGGCGCGCAGCTCGCACAGATCAACAACAGCGCGCAAAAAAATTAACACTTTCCCAAAGTTGTGACCGTAAATCTCGGGAGATCTAGTCGCCAAGGCCAGAAGCTCGTCATCAGGCAACGCAACAAGAACAGAGCACAAAATCCCACCAATCCGGCAAGAGAATATGGCAGGGCAAACGCCCGGAAACTCACCTCTTGTTGAGGCTCTCGGCCTCCTCCTCCGTCACCTGCCCGCCGAACACCACCTTCTTGAGCGCCTCCGACGGCTGCACCGAACAGAGAACATAAAAGTTCAGGCAGGGGGAACCCCCTCCTCCCTTACAATGATAGAGAGTGGGTACTCCCAGGGCGCCCCGTGGGGAACCGAGGAGGCCTGCTCACCTGGTGCGGCCGGCGGTTGGACGGCGGCGTGGCCCCGGCGGGCGACTCCTGCGGCGCCCCCTCCGGCCAGATCAGCAGGTCCGCCGTCGACGTGTGGGACTTCCTCACCGGCGCCGGCCTCTCCATGTCGCACTCCTCTCCCACCGCCTCTTCTTTCCTTCGCACAGCCTTCTCCCTCTCTCTCCCTTCTCCTTCCGGGGACGGACGGGGGGCGGTGCTCCTTGGCCTCGGTTTCTCTCTCTATCTCG